AAGATGAAATCACAAGCATGCCAGCCTAATGGCATTATTTATTTCAGAACCTTTGAGTTTGGATGTATGTAAGAAAAAAAGAGCGGGCACAGATTCATGAACTTTAATACTGACTGATACTGAGAGGGTCAAGGAAGAAGGTTGCAATGTACTAAAGTGAAATACACTTTGGCGACATCCCCAGTGATACGGACACATATCATTTGGCTTTCACTGAATTTTTTTTTACTAGCTTGGGGTGATGATGACATTGATGTAACTCTCTTGAGGGCAAATGATATGAGTCTGTGTGTTATAACCAGACCATAACAACAGAGTTGTACGTGTTACACGGGTATTGGGCGAATATCACTCAAAGAATTATATTTCATGCAGCACAGACGATGCTCTGGTATATTTTAGAACAGAACCTACTCCTCTTGTATGTAGGAGTATGTATTACCTCTCAATGAAGATATTGTCAGTCTTGACTGATTAATGGTTGCCCATCACTTGGAGTGGTACATTCTATGAAGGGTAAACAATGTTCCAATATGTGCTACATGAGATATTACTACTCAAAGGATTCTGCTTCACAAACAAACAGTAACACCACAGTGGTACATATCAAAGTTTTATTAACACATTGCTTCATCAGATCATTTCTTCGTGCCAAATCAAAAGCATACAAGTTTGATTAAGCTCAAAGTGTTCATGGTTGCGACAATATTTGTAAATGGTTCGAAACTCGATGTAGCACTGTAAGCATACATAGTGATAGTGCTAAACTGTAATCTCACACAATTATTGACATCTTTACAATTTGAACTCTTCCGGCCTTTCTAGCCTGAAACATCTGAAGATCTTGTGGACTACTCAATCACCCCATGGGTGCCTCAAAGCAGATGACCGCTGATGTATAGCTTGCTTTGAATCCTTGTCCGATCTTTTGTACATTACAATCTCATGGAATCCTTGGAAAAACTATTGAACAAGTCTTTAGTGGAACTAACGAGGAGTAGCTGTTAAGGTTGTACTCATAGGAAAGACAACTCAAAGGGCTTCGGCTTCAGCTTGTGCACTGCACCCCTTACCTGAGTACGTGCCCCTAATTTCTGAGAGGCAAAGGGGATGTCCAACAGAAGTCTGGGTAAGTCCGGAGGTCAGACATAGGGGAGTTTGGCGGAACTCTGGAAGGCTAGGAATCATCTTAGTTCTGCTCATTCCTGTTTCTCCGGACTTGAGTCTGATCTCTTGTCTACCTTCAAGTCTTAGGGTTAAACCTTAGGACTATATCTCCGGCTCTACCTTAGGGTAGTCTAACTCTGTTCCACTTCTACTCCAGACTTGTCCGCAGTAGCCTTACTCTGTTGATATTTGAACTGAGGAGTACCGGAGTATTACAGGAGTTTATATACTGTAGGTATCATGTAAGTAAATCAGTCAGCAAAGTAGAAGCTATGTACAAAGCATGTGGAAAGTCTATTGGTAAGTTTATAACAGATCAAAGCAGTGAAGTCGAAAATGAAGTACAAACAGGACAGATCAGTAAGCAAAGCAGAAAGGACATAGCCGGTAACCGGAGAACAATTATTCTAAAAGGAGATAGGAGTGAGCCCAGAGATGAAAGCAGAGTGCCAGGATGGAGAATAGGATGAGAGAAGTGGACTTTTGTAGGGGAGATCTGGAATTCCAGATCCGGAGGTATGGGATATGACAGTAGCAGTGGCTCAAAAAAGTGTCTCAATGTTTGCACATTTTCATATAATTGCATCATTGTGAGCCAGGGTGTAGGAATATAATAGGGCTATATGGACATGTCTGAATCCGTCAGTATCCAGGCTTGAATCTGAGATATGCAGCGTGGGAAAGTGATGTCATGGAGCGGAGATATGGCTATTGACTTTATATCAAAATCATAGAATTAGACCACCTACACATGATGTGATCAATGACACATGTCTTAGAATATCATATGGGATGTGAAAGTATAAAAATAATAAAAATAAAGCCAAACATCAACCTTTTTTGGCATCTTTTATCACTGATTACACAAAATCAATTCAACACTCTTTCTACACAATTCAACCAAATTTTTATAGAATATCTCACATTTTACTTGTGTCCACTAAAGTATTGTAAATAAAACTTACTGTAGACACTATACAAGCCTTCAGAAGTTCATTGGTGATCACCATTCTATGCTTTTTACCTCTACTATTTAGTATGCTATTTGCTTAAACAGTACTGACAAGCCTGCAAATGCTACTCAAGTGACAAAAAGACTGTATAATATCTAGAAGCAGCTTATTACATCGTAGACACCATGTTGTGACATGGGGGTAAGTGATATCAAGGCTAGAATTATGTAAAAACATCCCTTTCTTATTTAGCACTATAGAAGTAAGAGTAAACACTGCTATGTATCACTAGTACTGTACTATGAATAGCTGAACAAAAATTATACTATTAGCAGATAGAACTGGAATTAATCATCTGAGGCCAAATGGATGGCAATAGTGAAGCTTATAATCTCCTCTTCTGTAGTGCTAGAAAAGAAAGGAATGTTTTTGCCTAATTCTAGCCTTGATATCACTTACCCCCATGTCACAACATGGTGTCTACAATGTAATAAGCTGCTTCTAGATATTATACAGTCTTTTTGTCACTTGAGTAGCATTTGCAGGCTTGTCAGTACTGTTTAAACAAATAGCATACTAAATAGTAGAGGTAAAAAGCATAGAATGGTGATCACCAATGAACTTCTGAAGGCTTGTATAGTGTCTACAGTAAGTTTTATTTACAATACTTTAGTGGACACAAGTAAAATGTGAGATATTCTATAAAAATTTGGTTGAATTGTGTAGAAAGAGTGTTGAATTGATTTTGTGTAATCAGTGATAAAAGATGCCAAAAAAGGTTGATGTTTGGCTTTATTTTTATTATTTTTATACTTTCACATCCCATATGATATTCTAAGACATGTGTCATTGATCACATCATGTGTAGGTGGTCTAATTCTATGATTTTGATATAAAGTCAATAGCCATATCTCCGCTCCATGACATCACTTTCCCACGCTGCATATCTCAGATTCAAGCCTGGATACGACGGATTCAGACATGTCCATATAGCCCTATTATATTCCTACACCCTGGCTCACAATGATGCAATTATATGAAAATGTGCAAACATTGAGACACTTTTTTGAGCCACTGTAGTTTTAAAAATCATCAATCTTGAATCCTGTTGTGCTTCGTCATCATGGGTACATTGAAGCATCCTGGGTATGGTTTGTATGCATTATGCAGTCTTATTCTGAAACTCACTTACAATAGAACTCGATGCAATGATATTGTGGATTACTGAGCCACATTATGAGTACCTCAAGGCAGCTTGCACTTGCTTTACATGTCTTATTTGGTCTTATTCAAAAACTAACCTACAGTAGAATTTGACACACTGCTGCTTCATCGTCATCACAATAAAGACCTAGCTGTTTTCATTGAGAAGATTGTCCTCCTGGATCACTGAGAATAAGGTAAGTTGGTGTTCCCTAACTGTCATATCCCGTACCTCCGGATCCGGAATTCCGGATCTACTTCATTAAAGTCCGGTCCTCCATCTTGCTATTCCACCTGGCGCTCTGCCTTCATCTCTGCACTCACCCCTAACTCCTTTTAGATTAGCTATGGCTCCGGTTACCGGTTATGTCCTATTCCGCTATGCTTACTGATCTGTCCATTCTTACTTCATTTCCGACTTCACTGCTTTGATCCGTTACACTTAGTAATAGACTTTCCGCATGCTTCATACATAGCCCTTACCTTTGCTGACTGATTTACTTACATGATACCTACAGTATATAAACCCCTGTAATACTCCGGAACTCCTTAGTTCGAATATCATCTTAGTTCTGCTCATTCCTGCAATCTCCAGACTTGAGTCTCACCTCTTGTCCACCTCCGAGTCTTAGGGGTTAAACCTTAGGACTAATCCTCCAGCTCTACCTTAGGTTAGTCTAACCTCTGTTCTGTTTCTACTCTGGATTTCTGTAGTAGCCTTACTCCATCCCCACATAGTCTTCCGGAGTTCTGCCAAACTCCACCGACGTTTGTCCTCCAGAACTCCCTGGACTTCCCCTCTGCCCACTGGAAATTAAAGGCACATACTCAGGTAAGGGGCGCAGCGCACGAGCTGAAGCCGAAGCCCTTTGAGTAATCTCTCCCTTGAGCACAACCTTAACAATAACCTCCCATTTGAGCTTGGGAATATTCATATTTGACGATTGATGCACTGCTGCTTCATTGTCGCAATAAAGACCTGGTTGTTCTTATTAAGAAGACCGTCCTCCTTGTATGCATTACATGGTCTGACTCCAAAACTCACTTACAGCAGAACTGGATGCAATGATATTGCGGATTGCTGAGTTGCATCATGAGTACCTCAAGGCTACTTGTGTATGGATTATGTGTTATTTGGTCTTATTTAGAAACTAACTTACAGTAGAATTTGACACACACCTGCTTCATCATCACATTAAGGACCTAGTTGTTCTCATGAAGCTGAGCTGAAGAATATTTATATTTGACAATGTCACGTACAAGGGATGTCATGGCATACTAAACAACCAGAAGTGACTCGTTGGACAGACTCAGATCACACCGTATTGTACTCAAATCTCACATCCAGTTTCCAGATGACAATTTCGTCAAGTAATGATGACATTCACATGATAAAAATGACTGATTAATCGTAACATTAGCAGCAGAGGGAGCAGTGTACTATGTAGGACTGAACCAAGCAAGGAGGATAGTGATCAACAAATAAGTAAAAAAAGTGAAGTACTAGCTCGTCAGAATCAAATGTGGCATCTTCCATCTGCTGTCTCTGGGAAGCAAGAACATTGACAGACATTTTGGAAATAACATCTGGTATCAAGTCCTGCCAAAGGTTTCTTCCGAAACCTTTTCTGCATGGGGGGTGAGCAATCACAGTGAATCACTGACAATTGATGACTGTTACCTGGTCCACCACTCAAGAAGTCTGTTCAGCCTGACTTGCACAGCTGGACCTGGGGCATCCTCAAAGACATCTACAATATTGTTCCAGAAAAGCTGATAGTCAAAGTCTCCATTCACAGTGTGCCAGGAGGTGATGCAGGAAAGTGTGAATTGGATCTGCAGAATTCAGCTTCAACTTCCATTAAAGGCGAGTATTAATACTGACTTGGCAAGCAGTGTATGCAATTGCGTGAGGTGTAACCTTTCTCATACCTATGATGGAGGCCATGCAAGTCTTTACCTTGGCTTGATCTGATTGTCTCTCCGCACGCTGGTTGTTCTCAAGAATGTTGGCACCATCCCATTCACGATCCACTTCATTGGCTGAGGAAGGAGAAGTAAATATTGCCTTGAACCCCTGCAATGCAACAAGTTATCATGAATCCGTCTTAAAAAACAGGCTGCTCACCATAACTAATAGCTTCAACTTCATCAGACCACGCTCCAGACTCTTGGTGTCCACTTCATAATTTTCATACATGAACGACAGCCATGAATTCCAGCCCTGACACTGGACAAAATATTGGCAACATGTCACGGTGAAAAACAATGATCATCACTTACAGTGGGTCATCCCAGCACCATTCCGCTGGGCAGAGTAGCCTACTGCACACATCACTGATGAAGCCTCAATGGTGCTTATCATCAGTCCTGATGAGCAGAGTTGGATGATACTCCACATTCACCCATGAAGCCACAAAATCTTTGAGGGTTCCAGTGTCATCACCACGAGCTGAGTCCGCACCTTGCTTGAGCTAAATTGGAGATGAGAACAAAAGTGACAGGTGGTGACAAGTCGAGACAAACCTTCCTGAGCATATCTTCTATCTCTTCATGGTCAAGTTTTGCCAGTGTCTTGTGAAGCCACGGCAGTACCTTCGTGAGTTCAATATAGTGTTAGGTACTGTGCCGGCTCAGGAAGCAGAGGGTTCAGGGCTCGGCTTCAGCTCTTGCGCTGCGCCCTTAGCCGAGTACATGCCCTGAATTTGGAGTGGGTCTGATGTTGACGAGTGGACCGCTTAGGTCCACTTTGGGGGTCGGGAGGTAAGTGCTACTAGTGGCGGGCCAACTAGGAGCGGAGTGGAGAAGGCGGAGGATAATGTGGAAGGGGGAAAGGAGCAGGGGGAATACTTGATAGGGGTGGAGAAGTAAGGAGAAGACTTAGAGCGCGGCTCTAAGTCAGAGCGGAGGTTCGGAGGTGACAACAAGTTGAGACTTGTGTCCAGAGGAGGCAAGGTCCTACTGAGAATTCTCACAAGTAGAAACTGTGAGAAGACAAGTAATATTAAGACTGAGGAAAAATATCTAAGTACAGGATATGTTATATACTTCTAGGTATGAGGCAGTGATCAGGATAACTATGTTGTAAAGCTATGTACCAAGGATATAATTTGTAAGTATTTACACAGGCAAAGACATAAGTCGGAGCAGATATCAATATGTACGTGTTGGATCAGTGATCGAGCGGTAAGAGGAATTACCGGTGATCCAGGAGTAAGGGTCTATGTACCAAAATGGAAAGTATATATCTAAAAGGGGAAAGAGGTTCCAGTTGAATGGAGACGTTATGGAAGGGGACCGGTTGGGCGGTCAAGCGGAAGTGTAAGGGCAGATGTGGACAATGATTGGATGGAGTGGAGGATGGATGGAGCGGAGGTGGTTGGAAAGCGGAGCGGATATCAATATTGGAGCGGTTGGATCAGGTATATGACATATAGCCATGTTGAAGGTGGTCTTCTCTGGTCTTTTTGTCAGTAAACACAACAATATGAACATGGCTAGTGACTTACTCTGTAGTGGAGCTGCTGTCTCTCTCTTCACAACACTGATCATTTTCAGTGATCAGGTCCTCTATTGGAGTGTAAAGGATGACCATACGATGAATTACTTGTCCCTGTGACACATAATAAGTCGTCTTCCTGTGTGATTGAATAACGCATTGCTAAATGCAATTTTCAGGGAAGTTGAAAACATAACACACCTGTTCTTTGTTGCCTTGTCCTGCTTCAAAATTTTGATATCCTCCATGAGGGTGGCAATTTTCCACTTTGCCCTAGCGTGAGGAGAAGTTTCTAAACACAAGGAGACATCTGGAGGCTGAGGGTTGCTTGAGTTGTGCTCGGGTACTGACATAGAAGTGTCAAATGGTTGGCGAGAAGGAGAAGTGCAGAAAGGGTACAGAAAAGTGAATGAGAAGTGAAAGAGTCTACCATACCATCTTATATGTGGCCCTGGCACTGTCACGACTCCAATGGAATATGTCATTGGCCTGACTTGTGTAAATCTCAAGCCTTTTTTGGGTAGTCCGAGGAACTTGCCATTTGCTAATTACTGATGAGTTCTTTCCACTGAGCCTTTCTGGGCTGGATCTCAAGGCCTTTTGGGGATAGTCCAAGAAGGATGTGATGACAGTTCCAAACAGTGACCCATCATTGATGATATCATGATGAGGGGAACAATATTCCTTGAGGACCCATGCGGATCTGCCACCAGATGAGCTAAGGAAGAGGACCATGGAAGAAGCTACTGGCCATGTATGATACAGTGGCTTAAAAAACTGATAGCTTTTTGAGCTCTTCGGAATACTTAGTGTCTTCTTGTTCATTTTAAAATCCTGAATCTTGAACATGCCGGTCGACAGTTCATCTAGTACCCAGTTGAACGCTACACCGACAAAGTTCAACAGATGCTGAATGTTCTGGTCTTGCCCAATATAATCTACATACTTCCTGTCATGGAAGAGGAGCTGCCGGACAAAGTAGCAAATTGTGATATTTCCGAAGGCAACTTTCACTTTCGTGCCTTGAATCTGGAGAAAATAACATGAGCATTCACGCAAAAGACAGGGGGAAGCAACATCTAGCATTGATGACACCAAATAGGAATCTGTTGTGTTCAATGAGCCCATAGACAAACTCTTTTACTTCCTTCTTTGGTTTTTCCATCAATAAGTAGTGCAGACCATATCCCCAAAGGACTGCACTACAACTGAGGAATTGTATGTTTTTCTTAATCGTCCCAAAAGCTTTGGAGAGTTTAGACACCTCTGATTTACTGCCCAACATCTTGGACCAGGTGTTAAGGTTGTGCTCAAGGGGGAGGTTACTCAAAGGGCTTCAGCTTCAGCTCATGCGCTGCACCCCTTACCCGAGTATGTGCCCTTAATTTCCGAGGGGCAGAGGGGAAGTCCGATGGAAGTCTGGGGAAGTCTGGAGGTCAGACATCGGGGGAGTTTGGCAGAACTCCAGAAGATTATGAGGGAACGGAGTAAGGCTACTATGGACAAGTCTAGAGTAGAAACAGAACAGAGTTTAGACTACCCTAAGGTAGAGCTGAAGATTTAGTCCTAAGGTTTAATCCCTAAGACTCAGAGGTAGACAAGAGCTGAGACTCAAGTCCGGAGAAGCAGGAATGAGCAGAACTAAGATGATATTCAAACTGAGGAGTTCCGGAGTATTACAGGAGCTTATATACTATAGGTATCTTGTAAGTAAATCAGTCAGCAAAGATAAGGGCTATGTACGAAGCATGTGGAAAGTCTATTAGTAAGTGTATACGGATCAAAGCAGTGAGGTCAGAAATGAAGTATGAACAGATGGATCAGTAAGCATAGCGGAAAGGATATAACTGGTAGCTGGAGCAATAGCTACTCTAAAAGGAGCTAGGGATGAGTATGGAGATGAAGGCGGAGCACTGGGCGGAATAACAGGACAGAGAACCGGACTTTAGTGGAGGGGATCTGGAGGTACAGGATATGACACCAGGTGACAAGATTGTCTACACTCCAAGTCAATCAGCGACAGTTCCAAATAGTGAATTTCAAAAGCCTACCATCATGTAATACCATGGCATCCATGCACTCATTTGCCATCGTCCCAACAGTGGCTGTGTCCAGGAAGAAAGACTTGGCGAAGATAGTGCACTTCATTTGGAATAGTGCTGCAGACTTGACTGAAGATAGGTCTGTGAGACCGAAGACAATTGAGATGGCAGGAGATAGTGTTGTTGGTGCGGGGGTGGCATGGTCACAGGCTGGGTATCTAGCACAGGAGGCAGCACACTCTGTGCCACACTGTGAGATGGGCCCTCACTGTGCCCCACTTTGTGAGGGATGAGATGGTCATTTCATATCTTAGATATGGTATACGGAGTGTGCTGATTCAAAGTTCAGTGGTAGTGTAAATGGTTGAAATCATGTTGATGTCTGGCAGGCTCTAGATCCATTGAAGGCCCTCCCTCAACTCCATTACCAGTGTTATGCACATCAAATACACTATGCATCCAGTCGGATGACTGAGCTAACAGGTCAGGTTGTTCATAAGACATTTTGGGATGGGGAGCATGATAATAGGGGCTACCAACATGGTGGTAGTAATCTAATCCATGGGCAGGTGGGTAGTGAGTTGTCTGCGAGAGTGATATGCATTGTCCAGGGCCAGGATGGTCATTGGAGATGTTAGAATGATTGGTGGACTGATCATGGGGGTTCGTGTGGGGCCTCGAGTCATCATAGGTTGAAACATGTGTGCTCTGAGGGTGTGATATATCCTGAAGATCAGCGTCATGCCACTGATTAGCATACTAATTGGCAGGGTCCATGTGGGGCACAGAGCCAATGTACATTGAGTGATGCGTGTTCTGAGGATGTGGTAGACCCTGGGGAACGATGTCATACAGTTGATCTGTGTACTGGTTGCAAGGGTTCATGTGGCCCCCCAAGTCAACATACACCAAGTCATGCATGCTTTGAAGATGTGGTGTACCAGGGTCAACGTAAGGTGGTTGATCGGTGTACTGATCATTGAATCCTGGGTCAACGTATATCAAGCAATGTGGCATGTTTTGAGAATACAATGTACTAGGGTCAGTGCAAGGCAACTGATTAATGTACTGATCCTGAGGTTTCTGGGGCATCAAGTCATTGTAGGTCGAAACATACATGCTCTGAGGATGTGATGTACCCTAGGGATCAGCATCATGCTGCTGATTGGCTGTACTGATTGTTTAAGTTTCCGTGGGGGACAGAGTCAATGTAGGTTGGGCAATGAGTATTCTGAGGATGGGTTGGTGCCTGGGACACTTTGGTTGGGATCCCACCTGATAGTTGGATGAGAGGTGTTCTGATATCGGTCATCATAGGTGAGGGCTGTGGTTAGTGCTATAGGCCCAGTTAGAACTCAAGTTGTCTGTCATGGTAGTGTTGAGATGCAAACAAATCGATGTTGAAGTCTGTGCCAAGTGCAGTAGATCAGTGGCAACTGGTCTTGCCAGTGACTCCTTGAAATTTGATTTGAACTGAAGGGACTGACATATCATAACTATATGTTACTGGTGGATAAGATTAGTTGAACGAACGGCAACATCACATCCATCATTAAATAGTCCCATGCCATGCACCTTCTTGATAGTAATACATGGCCCATGGCCACTAGGAAAATCTGCTCGCCCTGCAGACACAAAATTCAAATCAGAACATCTTCA